TGTCTTTATTCGTACAGGTCGTATGTTCACGTATGGGACAAATTTTTTTGTCGAGTCGTCAATTGACATGCTACCCTCCGGATACCTCCGTGTCTGTATTTCATGCGTATTACGTAAGAAAGCGAGCGTGTCATTAGTCTGGCAGGCTATTGAAAGCTCCGAGTACAATTGACTGTATGATGTAAGCGCCGCTTTGGCGAAGTTGTTGGACCCAGAAATATTCGAGTATGGAGCCTTCACCTGTACAGCGGAGGACCGAATACCACGCGCGGGTGTGCTGAACTGATAGGGTCCCACAGCAAACACAGACAGACTAGGGTTAGGGTTCCCAATCCCGCCATGGGTGCGGGCGGGTATATGCCCGAATTTACGTGCATGCGGGGCAGTGCAGTGGTGTTTCATGTTGAAGACGCCGTACACACCTTGCACGGATGGATTGATTTGTTGCAGCAAACTCGAAAAACGAAAGAATGCCCTATTTTACACGCAACATGCATGTATCACCCCGAAGGTAGCACCGTCGGTCTGCACGAGCCACGGCCATTTGGCAAGCTAGGAAAGTACAAGCATTCGTTGTGGTGAAATGTTCACGACGATTATCCTTCGTCAATACAGGGTGCGGGGGCGATAAAACAAACGTGACGGGTAGCCTCCTCCCACCTCCGCGAAGTCTATGCCGTCGTCCTCCTTCTCTTTGGCATTGTAGACCCACTACAATCGTCGGCAACCTCAGGTTGACGTTTCGCAAAAAAACACGCGCGCCGGCGACTACAAGAGTGGAACGCTACAGTCTCGTCTTTGCGTCGCGTCTAACAACTCTTCCGCTTCTGTAGCATACGGCCAACGCCTCCTCGCGCCCCGGGGTGAGCATTCAACGACGATAAGTCGCCAGCGCTATCGGCCGACCCTCATGAACGCCGACATTATCTCCTGCAGAAACCAAGTGTACAGTATCCCCCGGTGCCATCGAGTGCCAGCGCTAACGCGGCCCTTCGCGTCCAAGAGTCGGCCACGTCCTCCTTCTTCTTCTTCTTGCTCTTCCAGGACTTCCCCGACCCAGCCCATTTACCAAGTACAACGCATGACAATGTGTGCGCAATCCTGAAAAAATACACCTGGGACGGAGCCATTCGGCGGTGCCTGTGTTGTATTTATGGAATATCTTGTAGTAGTCTTCACGACTTCGAAATTGAGATAGAGGGAGCGTACCACTTCGTACGACAGAGAAAATCTCCCCCGTCTTAGAGCATGCGTCCCCCCTAGGAGACAATATTGGACAATACAAAAAGAAGGGTAAGAGGGTGGCGAACCTCCGCACCCACTGATGTAAGTGAGGTGCCCGATGGCTTGTATGATGCCTGTGAGCCTCGTCAACACAATTCTGGTGACCGTAGGACAAACAATGCCTTGTACAAGGACTTGAGCTTGGCAGAGTAGACAAAATTCGATCTACTCCTCCTATGCTGCCTCAGCGCCGCTGGGCCCGTGTGAGCGGGCGTTTCTGCGTTTCTTTGCAACCAATGATCGGATTGGGGTGCCGGATAGCTGTGTGATTGCTGTTAGCGGCCCGAGGACAATGCGAGTTTCCGTAGGTCGAACGATGCTCGATATATAGAGTAATGTCAGGTGGAGTAGATATGACAAATCTACTCCTCAGCGTTGGCGCCCAGCGTTGGTGCCACCGGGCCCCTGTCGGTGGGCGTGTCTTTTCGCCCACAAGTCCGATTGTGGTGTCCGGTGGCTTGAATGATTGGTGCAAGCCATACCAACATAACGCGAGTCTTCGTAGGGGAAACGACGCCCTGTCGATAGAGTTTGTCCTGGTGGAGCAGATATGCCCTATCTGCTCCAACGGCCTTTGAGCCCCCGACCCCCGGCGGGTGGGCGTTTCTCTGCACCCACTAGTCCAATTGGGGTGCCCGACGGCTAGGATGGTAGCCGTGGGCCGTGCCAACACAACGAAAAACGCCCTAGAGCAAACGACACCCTGTAGATAGAGCTCGGCCTGGTGAAGAAGACATGGCCTCGATGTTCCACCGGCCCTTGAGCCACCAAGCCTCCGCGGGTGGGTGTTTCTCTGCACCCGCTAGTCCGATTGGGTGCCCGATGACTTGTATAATATCTGTGAGCCGTACCAACACGGTGCGTTCAGGTTTAGGCGCGGTCAAGCTATGTGACGGGAGGTATAGCGGGATTTCAAGTAATGCCACTTTCCCTCGCCCTAGAACGGAGCCCCCTCTGTTGACCATATCTCTGGACGAACATATCGGACGGGGGTGTCCGACAGCGTGTACGAAAGGAACGGATGCCGTTGAAACACGAAGCAAAAGGTTTGGGGTCAACTGGATCTGCGTGGACGGGGTACAAGAGGATTCCTGGGATGCTGCGGAGCCCCATTTTTCGAGGATATCCCTGCAGCCACTGGTCCGATTTAGCTTCTAATCTTGAGAGATGGCTGTAACCCATCCCTACACGATGCCATTGGTTTTGAGGTCGATTGGAGCTCTGTAGGCAGAGATCTGCCTGGTGGAGCCAATATGAAGTTACTCTACCGGTGGGGCAAATGGCGTTGCCGTATCCTAAACGTACATGGGTCAGGACCAGGGTAAACAATGTCCCGGCGTAGTTTGGGCCGCGTCGTTCATGGCCGCTGCGGGCGTCGTATCCTGGGCCCCTTATTCTGTGTCGTGGGTGCGTGGGTATCATCGGCCATTCCGAACACGCATCCCACACGAATCTTTTTTGCCGTCTCAACAAATAGACCAAAAAAATATGCAGTGCCAAGGTTCACGCGGAAAAAATCCGGACAGATACCCCCCCTCCCGCGAAGGCTGAAGAAATTCGAAAAGGTTCCATGAATCCAAGCTTGGTGAATCGTCGAAAATGTACCCATGAGTTTAGACGGATGGCAAACACCCTCGCTCTCGTATCGTTACCCGTTCTGCATCTGCTCGTCATCGATGCCGGCCCACGCTCACCCAACCGTGCTACAACAGGAAAACACACGGAAACAAGCAGCCGAGCTTGAATAGCGCCTCATATCTACGAAACTACACTGCAGTACCGACCAACAGCTCAGCGAACAACCCAATTCTTTTGGAACAGGTCATTGACCAAGTTTCACAAGTACTGACAACCATCCATTGAGCCACCGGCCATGCAAACTTGCCCTTGCCGCTTCTAGCACTGCACAACAGGGAACATAGTCTCGCAAATCTACTCGTCGTAGCCTTGGTCTCTGTAGGGTTACGTTTGACTTGATCAATCGGCCACATGGGCAATTGGCGGCCTAGCGGCTGCTCCTAGATTCCAATGGGGGGAGCATGAGAAGGTTGTGAATGCGACCCAGAAGTGTGCAGGGTGTCTGCCATCTCTCGGTGCTCCCCACAGCTCTACACCGCCAGCAGCGCCAGCGGTGATGGCACACCATGCGAGAGCCGGACGCCAAAGCGCCGACGCTTGGGCGTAAAGCCCGGGGATACATGGATGGGTATATGTCCCCCCCCCCCCGTGGTGTTTGCCATCGGGATTGGGTTTTCGTCGCTTGGCAACGACGTTGTAAAACAAGCCGCCCCCCCCGGTGTTTGCCATCGGGAGTGGGTTTTCGTCGCTTGGCAAAGACGTTGTAAAACAAGCCAATTCACTTCGTCAACTCGGCAACCAGGTTACCGTGTGTTTTTTTTAACCTCCGTTTTTTTTTTTGGCGGTAACCATCATGGTGGTCGAGGAGATCATGTTGTGCGGGGTCGAGAACCGTCACTCCGCGCAAGGGGGGTGATCGCACCACGTTGTGTTACAATGGTCAAGCACCCTCGAGGCAGTTACACAGTGCTTACAACTGTCTCTGGAAGTGAAAGCACCAGAAAATAAATTAAGTCATACGCAGCTGTCATCCGTACGCAAGGAAGTAAGCACAAGATGCCGAAAACCCTTAGCAGGATGCAGCGCACCCTTCATGCGACTCGCCGAATATCTCACGGCGCTTCGCGCTTGGTGATGTGAGAGCCTGGTCCGGTGAGAACCCGGCGTGCTCCNTTGGGTTTTCGTCGCTTGGCAAAGACGTTGTAAAACAAGCCAATTCACTTCGTGAGCTTGGCAACCAGGTAACCATTTTTTTTTTTACCTCCGTTTTTTTTTTGGCGGTAACCATGATGGT